ACAATCTCATCTTTTTTATTTCGTTTTTACATAAATACATATTTGTATTCTACTAGCTTAACATCTTCGGGTATTTTAGCTATGAGTTCAAAAACTACTCATTTGTAAAAGAACATAATTATGCTTGGATTGCTCTTTTCATTTAGGTCAATCATCTTTATGTCGACATTCTTCAATAATTTTAAGCTTAGGATCCTTATTTTCATTCAAGATATCAATTGAACATTATATGAAAAAAAAATTTCTTTTCGGTCCTTATTTTCTCCCTATATTGACATAATTTATCAAAGTCTCTTAATTTTTCTTAAGCATTTAGATTTATTCTAGAAGCCTATTATCAGATTTATCTTGAATCATTTTCTAAATATTTGAATATTTTATATTTTCATTTTGTCCTTTTCTTTTGGACATTTTTATCTTTAGAACCAATCGGTCTTTCACGCTTCGGGCGTGCTTTAGATTTATTATCTATAACATTAATAGCTTATCCTTCTAGGACCTCGATTCTAATAGGAGCATTATTAGTAGGGACATGCATTTTAGTTACTCTTTTAGTATTTCGGAATGCATCTAGTAGTTGGTTTGTAATACTTTATAAATGAATAATTTTCTAAACTTCTAGTTCACATTGTTTTGTACCAAGTTGATATAAATATAGAGTACTCTATGTAATCTCTTTTTTCAATATTTTAACTCGCTTATTTTGTTTAATCTCTTCCTCTAATGTTGGAAAAACTGTTTCATCAAAATGGCAATCAATAAATCGAACTGTAAAAAGAGATATTTAATTATTAAAAAAGGATTCAAATCCGGCACATATTTTCAATCTTCTTTAAGTGCTCATTTTAGTTCATTATGGAGGACCACTTGCGGATATATACTGCAATGCCAAAAAAATTCTTAAATAAGAAATATTTGGCTCATGACCATAAATTAATTAAAGACGAAAGAATTTATGATAACTTATAGGTCCGATGCCAATAAGTGTTATTGCATGTAAGATTGTATAACCCCAAACATAAACATAAAGTTTTATTTTTAAATAATGATTTAGCTATCAATTGGAGCCTTTTGATAAATAATTTTGCTAAACCTTTCGAGTATAAACATGAGCAACGAGATGTTCAACCTTTATTCTAATAGCCAATCAATAATAATTTAATGCTTGAGAAATAAATTCACTAGCATTATCAAGGTAACTTGTGTTAATGGCATAATCTCAAAATTATGCTCGAAATCAAATTATTTGTTAGCAATCTCGAAAACATCGGGTTTCGAGTAGATAATAAGCAAATATGTGACCATCTTATGCATGAATTTATTAAAATCATAAAATATTTAAATGATCCACATGATGGGTGAATTGATCCATATATATCACCTTGAATACAATTTAAAAATACCGGAAATTCAATCTCAATTTTGCTTAGTGATGGCTTAATCATCAATTTGCTTTGACAACATGCGGAACATGAAAATTCATTAAATTAAAGAATCTTCTAGCTATTTAATAGATGTCCATATGAAAATTTAATAATATTTATACATCATGAAAAATCCAGGATAACACAACTTGGTCATGCTATATAATAAAAATATTTGAATTAGTAAACTTCGATTTACTATAGCATTTGTTTCAATCATTCCAACATTTGTAATAAAGACTAGAAGAGAAAGTGGGTAAATTTTTTAATAAAAATTTTCTACCCAGTATAATGATTATAATATATAAGTATTCACATTTAATATCTTGATATGATATCAATTTAAATGAATACCTTTGAAACTCAACAAATTTCTATGAGACTTTGAAGAGAATAATACATCATTTATAATAAAATTTATCCTTTCGGATAATAACATATTTGCTCTCCTAGAGCCTTTAAATTATGTTACTTCAAGTAATAATATATTGACTCTTCTATAGCATTTAAAAGTTATCTCTTCAAGTAATAATATATTCATTCTTTTAGAGCTTCAAAAATTTATCTCTTCGAGATAATAATATAATCGCTCTTCTAGAGTCTTAAAAAATTATCTTTTTAGGTAATAATATAGTCATTTTTACGAAGCTTTCTATTACATTAATATTATCATATACAATATTAACACAAATAAATAAATAAATAAATTCTTCATAATCATAAATAAATAAGTAGTAAAATAAATTTATCACTATCTCTATGCAATTATAAGAAAATATAAAACTTCTTATTTATTAATAGAAAAGCTAACGAGTTATTAATTTCAATTACCTTCATTTTGATATATAAAATTAGCCTCTATATTTTACTTTTTTCTTTTTCAACGAGGTTTGACAAGGCTTAATGAGGTGCTTTGGTGTACGATAAGTACATGATCAATTTTCATTCATACCATATCTATAATATTTATTTTCGAATGTCGACTTTATCTATTTTTTTTTTTATATATAGTTATCCACTTCGGTGGTGAGATGTAATATTATGATCATCAAGAGTATAATGATAATTATTTCGACCACGTCCATGGCTATGACCACATCTTCTTCCAAGCCTAAAATTATTATAAATTATCACATTCACTTCGGGGAATGGAGTAAATTCAATTGGATGAGATTTATTCTTTTTCATCAATAGTTTGTCATTTTATTTAGTTGCCATGAAAACGTATGAAATTAATTCAAAATATTTTTTAAACTCTTTTTCTTGATATGCTACTGCAAGAGCATATTCAAGACATGAAAAGTATATGATATTAACTTAGCATCAAGCACTCATAGTCAATAATTCTTGCCCAAAATGTCAAGGGCCACAAAATCAAGTTTTGTCATGGTTGATATCATTAAAATTGTATATTGCAAAGTATAATAATAATGTTAGAAAATAAAGATAAAGTATAATAATAAAATTTAAATAAAAATAAACATAATAATAAAATTTTTACTTTTCAAATAATATATATTAGATTATTAAATTCTATATATTAGATCATTAAAATTTTTCAAATGTATATTCTATGTATCATTAGATTTAAAGTACATGATAAATTAGATACATACCTCTTAATGATCTAAACAATAATTTAGATCTAATTGGTAGAACACCTGTACAAAAGAAATCCAATAGTTGAAACAATTGATTAAGTCTTTTGGTAGATACATACCTCATCGTCTATTGTCTCGATTGGATAGAGCTTCGTGTTGATAACGTGTTATAAAATAAATAGAAATAATAGGAGAATCGAAATAAAGATAAAATATAATAATAAAATTTAAATAAAAATAAACATAATAATAAAATTTGAACTTTTCAAATAATATATATTAGATTATTAAATTCTATATACTAGATCATTAAAATAGAAATAAATTAGATACACACCTCTTAATGATCTAAACAATAATTTAGATCTAATTGGTAGAACACTTGTGCAAAAAAATCCAATCATTGAAACAATTGATTAAGTCTTTTGGTAGATACATACCTCATCATCTATTTTCTCGATTGGTTAGAGCTTCGAGTCGATAACGTGTTATAAAATAAATAGAAATAATAGAAAAATCGGAGGAAAAGATGACAAAAAAATAAAATCACTATAATGTGAATACAAGTGATAAGAACTTCAAAGTTTCTCTTATTCTCTCTAGAAAACTTGTACACCAACTAATGAATAATCAAGCCTATTTATAGGCTTCAAAATTAAGAAAAGAATTGAAAGAGATTATGAATAATTAAAAATATATCAATTGCATCACTCTTTCAATTTCTCATATTGAATGATGAATTGAATTACATTAAGAATCATGAGTAGTATGGATATGAAAAGTAGATGAACATTTATATGAAAATTCATTATTTCATAACAATTTTATTTTTTTTTACATAATTTTAAATGGCATTTTTACAAAAAACATAGACATCGCATTATCAAACATGTGCTCAATTTTTAACTAATGCAACCCATCATTCTAGAAAGAAATAAAATAAATTATAAACTAGTCTTGTTATTTGTGAAAATCAAATCTTTTTTTAATTCTTTTTTATTTCTTCATTAGTATTGATTACTTTTAACTTAATATTATATTATTTTATAAAATATTATATTTTTTTATTAATCATTCCATTTTTTTAATTATATTTTTAAAACAAAAATCATGATTGAAAAAGACTAAGTTAGGAGAAAATTTTACAATATTAAAACTAAATAATTAATTTTAAAAATTAAAAAAAATTAATTTATTTATTTTTTGAAACTAAAGGAAATAAGGTATACTTTACTCCATGTATAAATGTTTAGGCAGGCAAAGTCTCGTGCTTTTTTCAATATGAAATGAGGATATGGTCGTGAATTCAAATGGATTTGGTTTTATAATGTGAATATATTCGAGCAGACAGAGCCAGCTTGATGGGAAAGATATTAATCCTGGGCCTAGACGTGTCGGGCGCACAGGCTAATTTTGCGTGCTAAACAAAAGAAGAAAAGAAAAAAATGTAAATATCGACACAAATCTTAAAATAATTTTGATAAACATTGCATGTCCATTTGAACCCAAATTTTCACCATCTTATGAAAAATCAATATGGACACAAATCTTGACCAGAAAATAGGACATGATATTATTCAAGCTTTCTTCATGCTTCTGCTTAATTTATATCAACCATGCCAAGCACTGGCATGGCATGGCATGCTGATGGAGCAGGACCACCTTTTATTTTTATATCTACACGATCAGCAGGCACCCTTTGCAATTCCAATTGTGCTATTAATCCCAGGGATTGACCTCCAAGCCTAAAACCTACATGAATTGTTTGTACCAAACGTACGCTGAAGAAACAATACATTAACCAAGTCTTGCAACTTTTTGCCCTAAAAAGTTTTTGGATAGCCGCGGTAAATTATTATGAGCGCATCAGATACGACCTCATTCATCTGACATGATTTAAGAACAGGGACTGTGTGTGAAATAGAAAATTGAAAATTACTACAATCAGCATACTCCATACATAGGATGCAACTTCTCATTTCTTCTCTGGATTTTGAGATTCCTGCTGTGGGCACTCGGTGCATGTTTTACAAGCCGGAGACTGGAAACCATCTAAGAGACTAATCCGCATAGTTTGCTGCTTGTCTTCATTAGAAGGGATATGAAGGAGAGCTTCCATTATCAGTATTTCCCAGTCCCGATGAAGAAAAAATGAAAACCAATTGTCATCTGATAGAGAAAAATGTTATTTCCCTGTTAGTTTAAAATCGAATGTATCAGCCAAAAATAAAATAGAGGAGCAGCCCCGGATGGGGTGTGGAAACTCCAACAAGAAAAAGGGAATAAAACATTGTTCTCATTTCAGTGAAATATAATAGCTGACAGCCTGCAGTCCGTGGTAGCTGGCCCCAATATGAGCATGGGAAGAGGTAATGGGCAGTCCATCCTAATTCCTAAGGTATGCACTAAGGTGAAATGGTTACAAATTGTGCAAGCACACACAGAAGAAGCAGAAGAGGCTTCAACAGAATTCAAAACTTTCCTAATAAGCCATGGTGAACTTGGGATCAATGGAGAAAAATCTACACAATTAGCAGCAAAAAAATAGCAATGATTTACATATCAGTGCAAGGTTCTTATGCAGGTCAAGACTTTGAGAATAGTGGGATAAGCTTAGCAGATATGAAGAGGTCAAACTACAAAACAAATCAAACCTGAAGACCATAAGAAGACAAAAGTGGATAACTAGAGCACAAACCTCCATTGCGAACTGCCTTCAACTGGAATACTCCATTGCCATGTGGTCCAGCCACAGGAAATGTGCAAGAAACAGATTGCCTCTTGTGAGCTACTGCAAGAGATGCATTGTACCATGGACCTTTGACTATTGGCTCCCCAATAGCATCTTTGATTTCTTGACTATAACTGGCTTTCTCTATAGCTTTGCTGAAAATTTAAAAGTAAATGATAAATATGTTTAGCAAAATGAGAAATCATATAACGAATCAATTAACTGAGCAACAATCAACTACTGCAGGACAAATTTGAAATTCTGAAGTTGATCAGACAATTCTCTGTCAGCCTCCCCAATCCTCCTCGTTCCAATCCAACCCTCGCCATCCACATAAAACACTCTCATTATGTCCCCCTTTTCCTTCAATCAAGCTAAAGATGATTAGATAATTCTCTATCAATTAGACTGCTGGCTGTACCTTGACTTTAAATAATCAATACAGTCAAGAACTGATGCATCATTAACAGGTTTGTGATACAAGAAATGTTGAGGGAGGTTAGATACTAGTTGTGCTAGTTGAGGGGGCAGTAAAAACAGTGGCGGTATGTTTATTGTAATGTTAGTCATCTCAGCATAGCTGTGGTGTTGACTTAAGTTAAAGCAATGTTGACTTTTAATAGTTGCAAACTTTTCTCATGGTAAAAGGGTTTCTTTCTTAAGCTCTAGGAATATATAAAACCACAAATAAATCCTTGTTGCAGATTATCCACTTAAAAAATTGAAGCAAAAGAGCATGTTAAACACATGATGCACCAGTCCTAAAATTGCAAACTTTACATATCTATTCAATCTGTCCAAGAAACAAAGAAGCAACAAATCAATTTCCCTGCATCCACGGGCAATCTCTAAATGGATATCATGCCTAAAGAAGTTGGACTAAATATTTATCCTTCAACAATTCTACATAAAAATGGCAAGTTCTAGTACCTCAATCTTTTAATAAATGAAATAACAATAAACCATAGCCAACAACTAAAAAACTCATTTAATTATATAATCCATTCAACTTGAAGCAGCGTATTGCGATTTATAAATAAGCATAAATCTTAACAGCAATGGATTAGATGAACAGAGAATTGATTCAAAAATCTTCATTGTGAACCTTAATTTGCTTAAGCTAAGAGCGACTTTATTGAGCAAGAACTTCTCTAAAGATCACCAGGCAGGTGCAACCAATATACTAAGATGACCTTTTCTCCTTGGATCCGTATAGGATGACTTGGATTCAGTAAGGAAAGAAAAAACATATTGTGGGGTGAAATGTCTTGACGACAATGGTTCGTATTTGATAATCACATTCAAGTAAAGAAAATTGTGTGAATAGGGGGGCTTAAAACATCTTACTTTTCCATTTGAGCCAATTTTAAAAGAACATTCTGATGTCTTAGTTCAAAAACATACTACTGAACTCACTAGATTACGTCAACAAACAAAATAAGGAACATTATGCGCATCTAACAAAAGCAACCCCGTCAAGGCATCAATTTCCCAAATCCATAAAAAAAAAGGCAATCTTTCTGAAACCCAGTGACAGAAGCACCTTCAGAACATAAAATTACAAATTACCTGCTACAGCCATGATAAATGGCAAGATCATCAAGAGCACTCAAAGCAACACCACCAGTAACTGTAACCAACATAAAAGAAACTGCCTTTCGACCAAATGACTTGCTCTTTCCTTCATCCACGGACTTCCCTCCACTACATATGCAAAATTAAATAATATTAAATAAAAATAAAAAAGGTGTATTATTGCTAGAAGAGAAATGATAGTTACCTTGAAATTCGAGAAGTTGAGGAGCTCTTGAACAAGGAAATAAATCTTCTCGCCAACATCTCTCTCTCTCTTTCAGGATTTGTGTTGCTAGGGTTTAGAGCTAGCTACACCGATTTGCTGTTTGGGTTTAGCGGCACCGATTTGTCAAAGTCGCCATTTACACCGTTTTTATTTTGGAGTGTGACAGACAGCCTGAGAAATCAAAAAGTTTTTAACCGGACTGGTACCCAGATTGAAAGAAAGAAATCACGAGTCGAGCTGACTCAGTTATTTCATAAAATGAAAATCGAACTTCTTTTCGGGCCCTTGCTGGGCTTGTTTATGCTGAGCCGATTATCTGGTGTAAGAGCCAAAAGCCCAATTAGACTTTTGTCTGGGGGACTAACTTATAATTTTCAAAACCACAAGGACTATCTTAGAATAGAAGAGCAACGTACTGGATGGTTTGGCTATTGAAGAGCCGCTGCACCTACACAGGATATATGTCAAGCAGATTTCTTAGTTCACCAATCTTTCCAAAGTTTCTCAAGTAATTTCTAATACGTTACTAATATTTTCTTTTCTTTTGCGTCGCGGGTTAATCTTACAACTCAATATGTATATATTATCTTCATAATTTTAAAAATAATAGCCATCACAATTATGAATTACAATTTATTATATTAGTAAAATAATGATTTTGACAATTAATATTTGAATGCATTAATAAGCAGCCATATATAAATTTTTTCTAATTCATTTTTTTTATTAATATGACGACATTATTCATCAAATAACAGCAATAGGCATATTATATAACAATAATCGTGTGTAATGCTGTTACTTATTCGAAATATCATTCTAATTCCTCTAATGACAAATAGCGATAACAAACATATTCGAATCCATTAAATAACAACCATCACGATACATTATATAAAAACAATTAATTGGAACTATGATTGCCTCTAAGACCCAATAATTGTAACAATAGCACAGCACAGTCCTCATCATTCTAAATACACAAATGCACAGCATAACTGCCAAACCTAATGCCCTGTTCTTCTTTTTCCACACTGCCATGCCGATCCACTATCACTGATTTGCTTGAAGAGAAACCATACTCCGACTCGAACTCGATTATATATCTAAACAAGAAAGAGATATATACAAACAAAGAGATAACTCTCGAAGTTCAATGCTGTGTAGTATGGACAGAAAGTAACGAGAGGCACTGAGATAGATAAGAGTCTGAAATGAAAAGAAAACAAAAACTAGCCTCTTTCATCTCCGACCCAATTGTTCTTCTCCTTTGGCCCAGTAGGACCTTCTTCTCCATACAGCTCCACTGGAAACTTGTCAAATATGTTCTCCACTGAATATCTAAACCTCAAGGGCAAATGATTAATTATCTTATCTAGCTCGATTGTTGAACCATAGACAATCGTTGGACCCCACTCTCTCATAAACTGCAACCAATGAGGCTCAACGAAATCACTACCTTCACCTTCAAGATACTCTGCTGCAATAATTTCATAATGGGTGCTTGAATCCACATATAAGTTACTACGTGCTGCATCGTTCCTTATTCCTATCCCAAGTTTAGTGGAACCCTGGAGGTAACACCCGGGATGAGGGAAGCTAGCATGTCCACCTTTTGATGAATAAACAATAGCTTTGTTCCCCTCTATGTACTCCAAATCATAAGCATCAACCCATTCACCACCACTGTGCTGAGAGAAGTATATACTCCACAGCTCTCCAGTAAAGTTGCTTATGCGGAGTGTGAAATGCTCCCAATCGCCTACATGCTGCCCAATCTTGCCAAGAGAAATATTCAGTGGTCCAACTTTAAGAGTACCTGGCCCATTGAAGGGGCAGAAAACCCACATTGCAAGATCAGTGAAAGTCCCACCAAGAGCAGGCTTCACATGAACGTAAAGTTTTGCACTTTCCAAGTTGCCCTGTTTGACAGTATTTCTTCCGTCGTCAGAAGGCAAATCTATCCAAAATGTACCATCATTTGTCCCGCCGCCTGGCAAATTAGTGCCGTCAGCGTCTATGGGTTCACCAGATGAATCCCCAGCTTTGTACAAGAGTGCTCCATCTTTGAAAAACCACGACACAGAAGATGGCAAATAGACTTCATCGGGATGAAAGAAAACTCTAGGCCCGTAGTGCTTGATGAGTGCATGGATTTGTTCAAGGTTTGGCATGGCACGTAGATGATGATCTAAATTCTTCAAGCATCCAATATTCAACTGCTCTCGAGATATCCAGTAGCCACAGAAAAATGAGCCAACTGGAACACCTTTCCCCAGCATTCCTCGTCGGGTGGGTCTTGTACTCCAAACTCGAACTGGAACTGGTAGATTTAATAATTCAGAAAATGATTCAAGAAGTAGACGATAAGGTTCACATTCATCGGTCAGGTCTGCTCGAACACATCGTACTTCATCCATATCTGGCTTGTCTGGATTGTTGGTGACTAGAAACCCCAAGGGCTTATAACCCTCAGGAGGCTGAGGAAGCCAGAAGAAGCCACATCCTCCATACTTCTCCTCACTTCCATCATCTGAACTCCAAACTAATGTATAATCTAGGGGCTTTAGAAGAGCTGGTGAATTAGAAGCTACTGGCTCAAAACAAGCCGCCTCTCGAGCCACAAGAACAAAACCCTGCAAGGGTTTACTGTTGAATTGGCAATAGTGGCCAAGGCTATAGAATCCATTAGGCACTCCCAGAGGTTTATAGAATGAAACACCTTTTTTCTTGTCCTGCAAGAGATTGCTGCTCCAAATAAACTCAAACCTGGAGATTTTAAGAACTTCAATTTCGCCCAAGTTTATTCTTCCAGAAGCAAATCCACAGCCTGAAGTTAGAGATAAACAAATCAGAAACCATTAAGCAAACTACATTTCTAACTTCAAGGTTCCTCTTCAACACACTATTTTTTGAATCTTTACCTGGGGCTTCTGTAACAGACTATGACAATAAAAGCAAACAGAAGGCCCCAGAGAAACACGAAAAAGGAGGCTTTTCCATTTATTTCGTATAGCAGCAACAACAACTCAAGAAGCAAACATGGACACAGATGTCAATGACAAAGTTTAGAATCAATACAAGGAGAATTTGCGGGTGCTCGGAGTTTGTCAGAAATTTTGTTGTAAATTTGATTAGATAACTACTGAAGGCTTGCTATTCCCACGGAAGGACCTAACAGCCACAATGGCTTTAAGAATGCTTCATAGGATTTTCCTCCTTTGCTCCCCAACGACTGTAATAGCACCAATAGAATTTATTTGCAATAACATTATTAAATAGAAACAGTGGGTCCTATCAGAAAAATATAGGAACAGGGTAAATGAGAGAGATGGGGAGGTGGTAGAAGAGTGAAGTTGCTTCCGGATGGAATTTCGGACGTATTTGATCTCATGGAACTCAAACAACAAAGCGATGAAACAACAAAAAATACAACCAAGTGCATTAGCACAGGTAAAAAAATGGTTAACAAACAATTGCACAATAGCCTCGAAAACCACCTTGTCATGGAACTCTTCATTCATAACTAGGCAAAAAAAGAATCCAACTAAACGACAATTAAACATGCATGAGGACAAAGCAAAATCAAGTGAAATGCACGCCACCCAAAGATGACAAGAAAGTTCAAGAAACAAGATGGCAGTATTGTTCCTTTATAAAGGCAAGAAAGCAAACGGTAAACATCCTAAAGCTGAGAAGTTACGGTCATGTTCTCCATTGCAATATAGGAATATAACAAGAAGAAAATCCCGGCTGCAACAAGAAGTCGACGATGTTGTATAATTTATAGACATCATCGTCTAAATGCTTTGCCTAATAACTGAAGTGAAAAGGAAAACAATTAGAGAAAGTATGACATAATAAAATAACAAGAGCGAGCACAAATAATCCAAAAACGATTATATTCTGGACAATAAACCTCTTTATCCTAGGACTATAATTGAAGCAAATATCAAAATGTACCACTTTTCAGGCCGCAAAGCCTGAATCACTCTCATATTTCCGAAATGTGAACCAAGACAGTTAAGAGAGATTAACAGTAAACTTTTGCCTCTGGAGACTAATCGACAAAATATTTGCACAAAAGACCTCACCATTGAAGTAAATAGGTCCATTCAAACTACAAAGCATGAAAGATAATGTTTCTTTTTTAAATTGGCCAACCAAAAAGTAGACTGCAAACAAAACAACAAAGTCCAACTTGACAAGAAAAACAAGCACTGTTGAGAAAGTTCCAATAGAAATGAAAAATCGGCAATTAAGCTCGGGCCTGATCAAATGCTTCTTCAATACACGCACTCACGTATGTGTGTATATATGTAAGGAAAAAAAAAAAAAAAACCAAGCCAAAAAAGAACATAAACCCATGAATGATCCATGTTTTTATGCAGAGCATAAATCCAAGAACCCAGAAACACCCATCAACCAAAAAAAGACTCAGAACCCATCGTAGACTAAATGAGATAAGAACCAAATATGATTAAGAAAAGAAAAAATGATTAAAATCGGGGGTACCTTGAGGCCAATCGGGAAGAGGAGCGGGTAAAAAGAAGGTGTCAAGTTCAGGCGGCAACAAATTGGTGGTTTTCCTCCAATACAAACACTTGCAACAAAAGCCTCTTTCTTTGCACCACAACATTCTCCTATTGCACCCAAATGACCAAATTCTCTCCCTTTCAATGCTACCATTCAGAGATTATCACATTAATATCATGATCATCATCAACGATAATAGTAATAAATAAACATAGTACAATTTAGGACTTGCACATGTAGTGTAAAATACAAGAATTCAATAAAGCATGTATTTTTCAAAGTTTAATGAGGTGGGAATTTTTTGTTCTTAAGTATTTGTTTGTTGTTAGATAAATTAATGGTGAGCTTTTGTTGTTGAGTGTTGATTGGATTTGAGGTCTATCAAAAAAGGATGTTGCTTTCTGTTTTCTTTTTATTGCTAGGAGACGAGGGATCTGTTTTCTACTACTTCTTTTTTCCTTTTTTTCTTTTTTTCGATCCCTGATAATTTAGCTCCCAGAAAAAAGGGAGGAGATACATTGATCAACAGCCAAGATCAATGATGACCTCAGATGATCGTGACAACTATGGGCTAAGAAGATGTTATCATAGATGATGAAAAAAGAAGGCATCGTTGTTAATGAATTCAGTGGTCCTGATGGATTACTATTTGGTGATGTCATGGCCCAGCCCATGGTTATGTCTACGCATGGAGGCAAATCGATAGCATCCTCCCATCCGACTAACCACCGTACTTAACTTTATAAATAGAAATAATTTATTATAATTTATAAATTACCTCGATATAAAATATTTTATTTTTTAAAGGTCTATATAATTTACTTAATGAAATTTGTCAATATATATATATATGAACCTCTAATGGAAGTCCACTTCTAATAGAAGTTAGTATAGTAAATTTATTTTTCAAACATCTTTCCCTTCAACTCTTTTACTATTATCATAACAATTTTTTATTGTTCTTATTATTTTTTCAACACGTTATCAGCACAAGTGCTCTATTAAAAGACCCAAGTTATCTAGACCATTAAAAGTATATATCTAATTTATCTTTTATTTTAAATTTAATGATATATAGAGTATACATTTAAAAAGTTTGAATTTTATTATTATGTTTGTTATTGTTTTTTAACGTTATTATATCATGTATTATGAAATTTTTATCATGTCAAGAGCCACAAAATGTCAAATCTCACAAAACTTGATTTTGTGACTCTTGACATTTCGGATAAGAATTATTTATCATGGTGTTTGATTGATGGCGTGTCGTACTACCAAGTATATTAGTAATTTATATGTGTCCTTATAAAGCTTTTAATCACGATTATATAATCGGGGCAAATAAGGGTTGAACCCATAAAGAAAGGAAATCAATCAATTGCTTTAGGCGTTCTTGTGTGTAAATAAAGGTTTTGTGTGTTTGAGATGCTTGAAAATAATATAAAATAGTAAGGGATAATAGTATAAGAGTAGCCTTTGTTGAACTTTAGTCTTCACTTTTGGTTTGATTATTGATCATTGATTAAATAATTAACTCATCATAATATGAATATTCACCGTAAGACAACAATATGTATGTTGACTCTAATCTTTCCTTACCTAGTCATTAATTGAATATACGATACGCAATTAATTCCCTAGCTATTGAACAACTTACTAAGCACTAGATAGATTTAATCTAATAACAACATTAAGATGAGAAAGATAGGTGAAGCCAAGCCACCTTCCTAAGCATTAGAGAAGATGTAACATAGTTTTATATTTTTTTAAGAAATTGAACGAAAACATCACTAATCATCAACTTTTAGTTACTATCACAGGTAAGTTTAGACAAGCAATTACATGGACTTGAGTACTTAGCTAGCAATAAGCAATATAAATACACAACTAGTATGCACTCTAATTGAATTAATCATATAATTATGAACCAATCATATAGAAAAACATAAAATACCCAAAAGAGATAAGTTTAGAAATAAAATGAGTATTTTCACAAGTGATTAACCAAAAGTTTCAACTTGATTCAACTAACAATAAAGTTTAGTTGTTCATAATGTAATACAAAGAGAATTTCTATTGATGGTGGTTATGGAAAGCTAGCTTGGAAGAGAAGACAAATAATACCCCGAATTTGCTATTTAAACCCAAAACCATGGTTACATCACTTTTTGTGTTGGCATTACATTGTTACACGACTTGATATGTAAAGTCATATGGTTTGTTGTTTGATATCACACGGTTTGAAGCCCCGGAAATTAAGTTACACACAGCGTGTAACTTTGTATACAAACCATGTGAAAAAACCTTTGCTCGTGTATGCCATCTCTTCCTTAGCCATATGGATGTGTAGTTTTACACTACAAATCATGTAAAAAACCTATTACTCGTGTGATCTTCTTCTTCCCTTGAATGTTACTAAGTTTAATCAACCATATAGTCGTATGGAATGCTTCCTATGATCGTGTGAAAATGATTGGTTTGCTATGTTTGAGACTCCACACGGTTTCCTCCTTCAAGTCACACTACCAGTAGCTATTTCCTTTGTTATTTCACATGACGTTGTGACTCCTTTAAGCTTCTTTGAAGTTTCTCTATTTTCTCCTTAGGTTTTGGGGTTTCCTTGTTCGATTCATCATTTTTCCTACAAAACCCAAAACCTTCATCTTGTTCTTAAACAACATAATATTTTACAATAATGGCTATAAAATTCAATTTATTAGAGCATAAAAATCATGCTAATTATGCACTCATCAAATACCCCCACACTTAAACTTTGTTAGTCCTCGAGCAAAAAAAATACAATAAAAACCTAGGTCACTTTTGTAGGAATCACGGTTGCATTTAGTACATGTAACAAGCCTTTAAATTCCTAGATTACCCCTAGTGGACGAATTGTGTCTCCCGATGATTTTCAAATGATATGCCTACAAAATCATTCAAACCAATGTTATGCCAGTATGATTGTTCTTCGGACATTGATACTTATTTTAGAATTTACAAAATTCAACAATCAACTCGATCATGTTCAAGATATTATCATCATATCAATGCACGTCTCTAAATTAATTTATGCATCTTTATAACTAAACATAATTCGGGCATACAACACTAACTCTATTTTTGTCCTTTTTCCACCCTTTTCCACTACTATAAGCAAGGCAATAAACAAAGACTTTCTTTAATAAAAAAAAATTTACATTTTAAGCATCCTAGTTTTTTTTTTCTTTTCAAGGCATTAATAGCTTTTCCTTAAGTGATCACTTGCCTTTTTACACGACTACAAACATTTGTGATGAAGGTACCTAGTTACTTAGCTAATCATCAACTTGGAGTGCTTTGCATACTCATAATTTGAATCACTATTTGATGTAAAAGTAAACGTTTGTGATGAATACTCATAGTTACTAAATAACTCAAATTATTATAATAGAATTTTTAATTACTTCGGCCAAATTTTCTAATGAGATGCTTTTCGATTTCTTATTCGAACAAAATTGGAAAATCTTATTTATTTAAACCAGAGCTCGAGTCTAGTGTCCAAAGGGTTTGCTTTTCTTTCAAAGCTAGTATTTCTTTCTAAATTATGTTTCATCATGAAGACTTTCTAGTATGCATGCATTTCTATAACAATAATATCCTAAACATTTTCATTTATATAATCAAATTTCATTAAATTCAATCATTAAATATCAATTAAGAAGAACATCATACTAAACATGACATTAGTTTCATTTTTTTTTATATAAGGATACAAAATAAACACACAAATTACCCAAATAAAAAATAAAACAATAAAAACCTAAATGCTAAACGTATCCCCACACTTGACTCATACATTGTCCCTAATGTACGCATAAATAAAGCAAAAAAAGAAAAGAAAAGTAAGGATAGGGGTTTCTCTCGATTACAAGTACAATTTCCAAATTATGCCATTAAGATAATTTGTCTTGACAATGCCGGTGAATTTACCTCTCAAGCATTTAATGATCATTTGCATATCTATTGAAATAAAGATTAAATAACTCGTTACTCATGTTCATATTCAAAATAGTTTAGTAGAATTATTTATGAAAAGTCTCCAATTAATAGCCGGACCATCACTTATAAAAATAAAACTTCTTATTTATATTTGAGTACATGTAATTTTACTTGTAACAATACTTATTGACATCATACCTATAAGTTATCATAAAGTCTCTTCCTCTTAATTGGTTTTTGTTCATGAGCCTAATATTTATCATTTAAGAATTTTTAGATGTGCGGTAATGTTCCTATTACTCCTTCACCACAAACTAAAATGAGCCCTCACATGAGTTTGGAAATATGTATTGGATATGAATCCTCTTATATAATTAAATATCTTAAACTTTTAACGAGAGAATATTTTCACAACTTGATTTTTCAATTATTATTTTGATAAAATAGTTTTTCCAACATTAAAGGAAGAGAATAAGTAGAACAAACGAGTTGAAAACATTGAAAAGAAATATTTTATAGAATACTCCATCTTTACATCATCTTGATCCTCAAATAAAACAATATGAACTAGAAGTTTAGAAAATAATTCATTTATAAAGTCTTGCAAACCAACTGCTAGATGCATTCTTTGATCCAATAAGAGTACCTAAAATAGATCTCTCTACCGAGAATGCTCATATTAGAATTAATATCCTATTAATAAAAGCTATCAATCTTATAATAAATGAATTTAAAATACGCTTGAAACATGAAAGATCGATCAATTTTAAAGATAAAAATCTTTGAAAGAAAAAAAAAAGAACATAATCAACATGAAAATACAAAAGAGGCGAGATATTTATAAAACATGTTAAGATATTTTTGATAATAGACTTTTAGAAGAAGTCCAAATGCTTGAGAAAAAGAAAAAGACTTTGATAAATTATGTTAATACAAGCGAGAAAATAGAAGCGAAAAAACATATATTGATAATATTTTTGCATATAATATCTACTTGATATATTGAATAAGAAACATGAATCCGGATCTACTAAAAAATATCGGCATAGAGGTGATTAGCCTAAATGGAAATATGCAATCAATGCATAGTTAAATTCTCTAACAAAACGAGTAGTTTTTAGATTC